TGTTCTATTCTTTAAATAAAAATCAAAAAATATTTTTAGGGAAAAGTTGAAAGTATCAATTTTCCTTGGAAATCAAAGTTTCGAAAAAAAATATTTTTGAGAAAAAGTTGAAAGTATCAATTTTCCTTGACAATCAAAATTTTCAAAAAAAAAGATTTTTGAGGAAAAGTTGAAAGTATCAATTTTCCTTGGAAATCAAAGTTTCAAAAAAAAATATTTTTGAGGAAAAGTTGAAAGTATCAATTTTCCTTAGAAATAAATTTCCAAAAAATATTTTTGGGGAAAAGTTGAAAGTATCAATTTTTCCCACACAAGAACAATCATTTTTTCCTTCCTATTTTGATTTTGATTTTGATTTTTCTTTAATTAATCCGACGACGGAGCCTCTGCAAGTGAAACAATAGTTCTTCTTGCATACTCTTGAGGTGAGGGAGTTTTCTCAATTTTCTGCTAAAAGTATTAGAGTCAATTGAGAATAATTTTCAATAATTAATTACTTGGTAAAATTTTAAGGCTTTTGGATAACACAAATTTAAGCTGGTACCATATTTTGATGGGCGTTGTGAGGGTGCTATAACCTTCCTCACACGTAACCGAACTCCTGAACCCTGTTCTGGTTAGCAGACCTGAACCTATTCTTTTAGGGACCCTCAAGTTTAGGTGTTCCCTGAAAAGACAGATTCTTTAGGTGGCCAATCGCACCTAGATAAAAAATATTGGTGGTGACTCCCTTAAGTCAATATCTAGCGATGGATCCCCGGATCTAGACGTTATGACAATGGGTTTTAGTACCGTCGATGACACGGTGAAGTATTCTTTTCAAATTTGATTAAAGTTACTCTTTATCAAATAAAGATGTGTTGATCGATCATCAGATGATTGACTTATAGCTACTTTTTCATTTCATGCAAAACATAATAAAAAATATATTTATTTTTTTAATTTTATTTTGTATTAGATAAATTTTATAATAAAAAAATCAATTGAGATAAAAATGATAAAATTATTTATATTCAATGGATTTTGATTTGTCCTAATAAAATTGATACTTTTTTTTAAGTCAAGATAATTGGGTCAAGTTTTTTTTTTTTTTTAAATCGAGTTAGAACTACAATAAAGTTGTAGATATTACACTTAAGACGCGATATATATATAATATTTTTTATTAATTATTTAGTTCTATATTTATATATTATTTAAAAATATTATTTAATATTTTAATTTAATAAATTTAATATATATGTGTGTGTGTAGAGCTATGATTAAATTTGAAAAAAAAATTATGATTTAATATATTTAAATTCAAAATTTATGATATAATTTTGACATCAAATATAAATAAAATGTAATGAAATCAAAACTATTAATATGCATAGGAATGAGACAATTATATAGAGTTTATTTTTTTATTGTTGAAAAAACAATTGCACATACAATATATATTGATAAATAAATTTTTTAATAATAATATAATTAAATCATTATATTATTTATATTGTCTGAGATAAAAGATCAAGTGTTAAAGAGGTTGATCAAGTGTTAAACAGGTTGATTAAAAGATAAATGTCTCACTATTTCTTTAGTAGATGAGAGGGAACATGCCTTGGATCTGTAGAATCAGCTTTTGGCACCCAGCGGCAAATTGGAAAGGGATTACAAATTGTTATGCGGGTTCAAGATAAAGTGGATTTTTTTTTTTTGTTTATTAAAGAAGGTATTAATATTAAATCATGAAAATCCACATTCATGTACCAAAGAAAATCCACTTTCAAATCCATTATCTTAAAGGAAGAAAATATTTATTTTGTTGAGTAAGATTGCCAACTTGAGGAGGTGATGTGACATTTATTTGGTATAGTCCAAATCTTCTTGACTAGATTCAATTGAGTAATTTTTTTTTTCATTTGGATCAAGCAATGAGTGTGAAATATGAGTTTTCAAGTCCCTTTCATATTTAAGGGAGTGATGGGTATGCTTCATTTATGTACTTCTAAAACAGTTGTGGGTGGTACATTTAGAAAAAAAAAATATTTCTGAAGGTTGAGTTCTAAAATCTGTATTTTTTTTTATTTTTTAAATCGTCATCACCTATATAAAAAAAGAAAGTAACTATCTGCCATATTAACAAGTTACTTTATCACATGATATCAATTAGGTTTATTTCTCATGTGATTATAATAAATTCAGAACGAAATGTAATTTTACCAAACTAAGATTCTGATACTGAATTATAGAAAAAAGAAATAGAAATGTCCCAACACCCATTAATTGCAATTGGGAGAAGCAAAAGTTAACACAAAAGTAATATTCTCGGGAAAGGATCCTTTTTACTATTTAAAAATCAATGAAAATTTTCATTAATTTATTTACGAGTAATAAATTCACTTTCAACTAAATATATAATGAAAATTTTTTAAATTAATTTTTATTTATTTTTATATTTAAATTAAATTATTAAATTTCAATCATAAATTTAATTTAAAGTGTATTTATGAAGTAATATAAACTTTGACTGAAATTTTTAAATAACGAAGAGCATCCTCTCCCTTATATTCCCATAGGTTGGTTGGAAAGTGTGGCGAGTAGATATTTAATCAGCTAACTAAACTTTAGACCAAAAATCCATTAGCTAAAGTAAAAGCTTACGTACAGAGCAAAAAGGTTTATGGGCCAATAGAAAACCCATTTCCATATAATAGTAGCAACTAGCAAAGACAATCCATATCTTGAATTTCTTTGTTCATGTTTATTCATGTCCCATGAGCCCAAAGGTCCAATTTTTAATTTCTTCTGTTTTGAGCTTCAGACATTCTTTACTCGAGATGTCGTAAATGAATGCAAGCAAATTATTAAGAAATTAATGTCAAATTTATCGGTATATTATGAGTTAATGTTGAATTTTATTATTTATATTTTAATTTTATGGAATTTTGTTACTATATTTTTAATTTTTTTAAAATCAAAGAAAAAATGCAGAGATAAAATTCAATAAAATTGAAATATGTTAACAATATTAAATACTGACTCATATAAAGTACATACAAAAAATATATATCAATCCCAAATAAAAAAAAGATAAAAGAAATTAAACGTGTATAGAATTATATAAAATTTCTAAATAAATATATGAGAAAATTAATTCTTATAATACCTTGCATCAATTAAAAGCTTTAACTTCTCACAATTCTATTTGATTGCAATTGATAAAATGCATGATTTTAGTCTTATTTATTAATTATAATTGAATATACATTATACAAGTGTATATATATATATATATATATATGATTTTGCATATGGAGATTTATTATGTCTAGGTCTCTTGGATCATAAAATATATTAAAGATAATCCTGTTTTATCTAATAGATTCAGTCCTCTCATTTAAAAAAATTCGAACTCGGATTTTAAATTAATGTTTTAATTAAATTTTAACAGTTGAAAAATCAAATTATATACTTGAAAGTTGAAACCAAAAAAAAAAAAAAAAACAGAGCTTCATTTTTACAGCATTTAATATAAGAAGACTACCTACGGCTCATCAGTTAAAAACACACAATCAACTTTTTAAGTTTATACATAATAAAAAAATCTACGAAAACACCAATTACGTTCATTTCACTTGCACTTTCTTCAACTGTACCATACTTGCATTCTACCACATCAATAAAACTATGCCAACAGAAAAATAGACATTTCTTATTGAAGTAGCAAAGCATAAAAATTTCTAAAATTAAACACATAAACAGACCCAACATTCAATAAATAAAAATTTAACTTTTTTAGATAACAATAACAAACAAACCGACTTCAAAATTGTTAAAAATTAAAAAGAAAAATTATCTGTCTATGAATCAAATCACTACGCAGAGAGTAAACCAAGAGGAATCCTCGGGAGGTTCTAACTGCATTTACTTTAATCCCCTCGAAAACCAGACACTCCACGGCCGTGTTGTGATCGGCCTCGATGGGTGATGGTTTGAATCGTATCTTGACCTGAAGCTCATCGAGGTCGGACCATTAGAGGACGAGAATAAGAAATCAGTTGGCAATATTGGCGGGAGAACAGGCGTCGGGAGCGCAAAGGAGAGTGGTGCTGCTGGCGTCGGGGGCTGTCCAGCCTTCCTTGCACGTCTGCGCTCCAGACGCCCATTATTGACTAGCGCGATAAATATTTGATGAAAAAAACATAATACGTTTTATGACAATATTGTTTTTTTTTTTAATCAAATGAACTTATTGTTAATAAAATTAAAGTTTGAAATAAAATATTTGAAAAAAAAAAACAAAGTTTGAATATTTAATCTTCAATTTTTTTTTTAAATCTACTTAAGAAAAATGATATAATTTAGAGGCTTACAAGTAATTTTTAAAAAAAAAAAACAATAGGGAAAATTACTTTTATAAAAAAAACTATATGTAGTTAGTGGAACAATTAATTTAACATCTCATAAGCAAGTGTTAAAACAAAGCATAATATATTGTCACAAAAATTAAATAAAATAAAAACACATAAATTTACAAATGAAGACACATCCATCCATATCTATATGATAAGCTGAGAACAAGTAAAGCAATCTACACTAACAACACCTTGAATAATACATATTACCCATGTTGTGTTACAATCATTCAGATATTCAATGAACACCCAAAACTGAACACTTGCTTTTTCTAGCCAGATTTTATTCAAACAAGATGCACTGGATTCGGTTTGAACGCCACTCTGAGAAGTAGGAAAAAACTAGGAAAACCCTCACCTAGGCATAATCTGGATGTACTGCTAGTTTCTTCTTCGTCCATGGACCCAAAATGAAACTTTCTTCTGCCAATCTCTCTGAATCTTTCTAACAATCCACCACGGTCTTCCAGTTATGAAAACAATGTATCCCATGCTCAATCCTAACACCACTCCACTTCCATACCCCATCATTGCTACTTTCCAAACAAAGGGTATTGAAAAACCTTCATGTTCCTCGAACATTGTTGCAGGTGGTTTTGGTCACCCACGGTTATCGCATTGCTTTGACAATGGTAAGCCACACAATCCCAAGTTACCGCTGTAGGAATCATTATCAAACGTATCAAATTGATTCCCATGGGGAATTGGTCCGACGAGATTATTTTCTGACAGGTTTAACACTGCAAGGAATGTCAGATTTGTCAATTGGGAAGGAATTCTGCCACCAAGCTTGTTTGATGAGAGATCCAACGATTCAAGTGCTACCATATTTCCTAAGGATGGTGGGATAGGACCAGCGAAGTTGTTGTGAAAGAAGTTGAGCATTTGCAGTGAAATAAGTTCTCCAAGTTCCTTTACGAATTTGTCCACCGAATAGGTTGTTTGAAAAGTCCATGGCTTGGAAAATGGCTAAGGTTTTCGCCAACTCAATCTCCAATCTTTTTGCTGTTAAGATTTTGCTTTTGAATGCAAAGGGTGCCGTGTAAGTGTTGGCATAAATAAGAAAAAGTAGAAAGGGGCGGATTAGAACTTAGGGCACATCCAAGGTTTATAAATTTGTGGCCCGTATTCTTACGACTCCAACTTCTTTGGGGCTTGTGCTAAAATTCAAAAAAAGTGAGGTATATCTGCTATTCCATTCATTTTTTTTTTATTCATTCTATTTATTAGTAGATACATTTTTTATTCTTTTGTTTTTAATTTTTCTTTTTTTATTGGTATATAATTTTTATTGAAAAATAATAAAAAAAATAAATTTTGATGTGAATTTTGATTTAGTAAATTTAAGAATTGTAAATGTATTTTGTATGATTATACTTTATAATTATTTGTGTGATTCCTGTTTGTACATAATAATATTTAAAATAAAATAATTTTATTTTTAAAAAGATATTTAATAAATTCAACGATATAGTCTTTTTAAGTAAATAATAAGTTTATATTAAATACTTTTAAGGTGAAAATTTTTTTTTTAATATTTTAAATATTGAAATTAATAAAAAATATTTTTGATTAAGGCTTAAATAAAATAACATATGATTAATTAGTTATCAATTTTGAGTGTAATGAGATGCTAAACCCTTCCTATATGTAATCGATTCTCAAATTTAGTTCAAATTTTATTTTTTAAAAAAATTTTTAGTTTAAATTTAAAATAACCTTAAAAATAATAGATTCAGTAATGATCAATCACACTTAAAACAAAAAAATAATTTTGATGATGACTCTATAATTTTTGTATTTAATGAGTTAGTTTTCAAATTTAAACGTTATAAAAGAAAAATCAAGAACTCTTAAGCTTTTTCCTGATTGTGAGAAATTCAGGAATCGCCTTATGTTGCAAAAAGAGAAGGATAAAGTCTCGAGCTTGTGAAAAGTAGAGTTAACACTACTGTCACTACTCAATGATAGCAACTTGTTATTTGAAAGATCAAGTGTTTTAAGATTCTTCAGCTTTGAAAACATATCTGACTTGATGACGCCAGTTAAGTTGTCTGATGAAAGATCAAGTTGGGTAAGATTTGCAAGATCAAAGAAAGAACTTGGTATCACTTGATCAAACTCATTAGACAACAACAATAAGAAGATTTTGGTATCATAAAAAATAATATGGGTTCAATAAAACTCAACATAATTGGAAAGTACAAGTTTTCGATATATTGCAAAAATATACATTATGAACCATGTAATCAGTGGCCATTGACCAACAGTTGTGTTGGTCTATAAGGTTATTAACATTTTAATTTCAATGAGTAAATTTCAAATCCTGATAGTTTAAGATTAAAAAAAAAAGAACAACCTATGCAACCAGTGATTAAAGAACCAAACGAAAAGAAATTAATCTTCAGTAGTCTAATTAATGACATCAAGCAACATAAATATTAATCATGTGGAGCTCCATAACCGGAGGTAATACCAAAACCAGAAGAATTTTCAAAAGAAAGAACAATGGTTAATGGGACAACTCATTAGCATCTCATGGAAAAACACTAAAACAGAGCAGAACATAAAGTGGCCAAAAAAACACAACAGTTACAAATTTAGAAATTATGATGACACCCATATGAATAAAGCAAAACAAGGAAAGCAAAAAGACCTTGAATACAGTATTTGAGTTGCTCAACCATTCAGATTTTCAATGAACAACCCAATTAATTGAACCATTGTCATAGAAAATTAGAAAATTAACATAGATGATAGAAAACATGGACTTTCCAGCCAGATTCTATGGAAGTAGGGTGCGTATCTTCCTCAAATTCAGTTCGATCACCACTGTAACAAATATGAAAAAAAAGAAAGATGAAAGGTTAACTGCAGATGACAAAAGCAACGAGAGTCTAATAAAATTCTAAGCACAATATATAGTTAAAACTCACTTCAGTATTTTGGATTTAATTTTAGTTTCTTCTTCCTCCATTCCTGCGAATCCACCTCGTAACATTCTTCTGCCAATCTCTCTCAATCGTTCTAACAAACCACCATGGTCTTCCAGTTGTGAAAACAATGTATCCCATGCTCAATCCGAACACCAATCCACATCCGTAGCCCATCATTGCAAGTTTCCAAATAAAGGGCATTGCAGAACCTTCATCTTCCACAAACACTGGTGTAGGTGGTTTTGGTCCCTTATCGTTGCCACATTTCTTTGAAAGTGGGAGGCCACACCACGCCAAGTTACCGCTATAGGAATCATTGTCAAAAGTATCAAATTGTTTCCCATGTGAAATGGGTCCGACAAGATTATTTTGTAACAGAATTAACACTGCAAGAAATGTCAGATTCATCAATTGGGAAGGAATCCTGCTTGTTCCACGAGAGATCTAATGATCCAATTGCTGCCATACTTCCAAATGACGATGGGATGGGACCAGTTAGGTTGTAGTGTGAGAGATTGAGCACTAGAAGACCATGAAGTTCGACAACTGCATCAGGGATTCCTCTATAAAATCGATTGTTTGAAAAATCTGAGTGTGAAACCGCGTAGGCTTTCCTTAGCTCTAGCTCTATCTTCAACCTTCTCATTGTTGCTTTCACAAAATTATAAACTTCTACATTCAGCATTGGCAAACACTTATGCATAGATATACAGGGGTCGTCAAAAATTCGGGGGGATTTTGCCATGAAAATTGTTCATCTGTAGGTTTATGGTTGAGAGAATATAGCTGAAATTTCCAAGGCACGCTGGGATAATTCCACCCAAGTAATTTCTAGACAAATCAAGAGTTTCAAGTGCAGTCATGTTATAAATGAAAGGAGGGATTTCCCCTGTCAATTGATCTTTGGACATGAAGAATTCAAGCAATGATGGCGGTGGGGCTAGAAGAGGACCTTGGAGTAGGTCAGAACGAAGATCAAGGATTCTAAAATTCTTCCCTGGAAATTGCTCAAAACTAGTCTGTAGGTTGTGAGAAAGATTTAACGTGACCAATTGCTGCCAACCTTCTGATTCCCACTTGAAAATTGAACCTTGAATTTTGTTATAGGAAAGATCAAGAAATCTCAAGCTTTTCCCTGATCGTAAGAAATTCGGCAATTGCTTTGTGTTAAAAGAAGAAAATTTTAAAGTCTCGAGCTCTTGAAAAGTAGAGTTAACACTACTGTCACTACTCAATGATAGCAACTTGTTATTTGAAAGATCAAGTGTTTTAAGACTCTTAAGCTTTGACATCTGACTTGATGACGCCAGTCAAGTTGTTTGATGAGAGATCAAGTTGGGTAAGATTTGCAATATTAAGGAAAGAACTCGGTTTTTTACCATGTATGTCATTATTGGCCAAAAACACTCGCTGAACTGAATTAGGCTTTTGAATCTGATTGATTGGACCTGTGGTCCTGTTACGACTGAGGCCTAAATATTCTAAAGATGGCAGAGTAAAAAGGCAAGATGGAATTGCTCCACTCAACAAGTTATGAGTCATGCGAAATTCTTCCAGATTCTGAAGCCCGCTTACTTGAGTTGGAAGGGGGCCCTCAAGACTATTGAATGATAAATCTAAATGAATAAGTTGTGTGAGATTGAACAACGTTGAGGGAAGTTGACCACTGAAATGACAATGAGAGAAATCCAAAGTAGTTAGTTTATTAAGGTTTCGAAAGACATTTGGAAGTTCTCCTTCGAAGTTGCTCCTAGATAAAATCTAGAAAGGTGATTTTTGTGAGGTAACCGAGGGCGGAAGGAATCGACCCTTTAAAACCACTAGATTTAAGGTCCAAGAACCTAAGGGGACTACTCCAATTTGATCTAGGGAGGTAACCTGTCAAATCAGAGTTCAAGCTAAGATCAAGATACTAGAGGTACAGAAGGTTAAGCATTTCAGTGGGGAATTCCCCCTGTAATTCACATTCACCGAGACCCAAACGCTTTAGAGATGAAGTCAAGCTTATTAAGGAGGAAGGCAAAACATCAGACATGTTTACCCATTCAAGGAAAAGATTTTCTAATTCAGACAAGTTATGCATAAGCATGTTAAAACTACGGTTGTCAAATTTCAAGCCCTCATAAGTATTCTTAGAAAGATCAGGTGAAATCAGTTTTGACAGCAGAGAAATATCAGATGGAACTAAGCCAGAGAAGGAACAACAAGAAAGATTAAGATGTGTCAAACTTACTAACTGACTAAACCCAAGGGGATAGAACCGTTGAAATTGTTGTACGCAAGGTTGAGTCGTTTGAGTCCTTGAAGAAGGAAAAGGCTGCTGTTTTTAGGGAAAGAGCCAACAAGAAAAGAGCAACTAAGGTTGAGGCCGATGACATGACCAGTCACCTTGTCGCAAGTGACTCCATCCCATGAGCAGCAGTTTGTGGTTTCATTCCAGGAGTTTGGTTTGGGATAAGAAGTGAAAGGGTAAGGAAAGATATCAATGTCTAATCAGTTTTGAAAATCGTTAGATGAATTTAAAAAAAAAAAAAAATCGTTATCAATATTTTTTAATTAAGTATAATTGATCTATTATTAAAATTTATCTTTCTAATAAAATGTTTTAAATTAATTAATACTTTATCAAAAAAATAATTATTTGAGTTTGCAAAAACAGTTTTAAGTTTGAAAGTTGATTATGCTGAAGAAATATCAGCATCTCTATGACATCCATTTAAAATGATACCAATTAATTATATGTTATTTTTTAATTATGATTAAAATAGTTTTAATTTTGATATTTAAAATTTAATTTTTTTATTGTAAAAAAAACATATTTTTATTTATTTAATTTTTTTTTATTTTTGAAAACTAAATAAGAACTTTGCATATTAAAAAATTTTCGAAAAAATTCTAATATTTTGAAAATATTAAAAGAAACTTTCTCACCTAAGGATCTCTTAAAAATCTCTATTTGGAATTTTCAAAAATTTTATTTTCGATGGTTCATATTTATCATCAAAATTTATTTTTAATAAACATATTATAAATTATGATACCCATAATTTAAAATTAAATAATATTTTCTAAAAATTCATTTCTTATGTCATTTATAAAAAATTAAAAAATATTTGTCATGACTAATAGATCTGTGGACATACCGTTAGACATGAATATAAAGGAGTCGCCATCAATCTTTTTTGTCTAAGTGTGATTAGTCATCTGATTAAAGTTAGCCTGTAAAATAGATATTAGATTTAGGAGTCGATTACGCTTGGGGAAGTTGTAGCACCCCAATAGCGCCCATCCAGGGATGGTACTAATTTTGATTTCAAATTGTCCAAGCCTTGAATTATTACTGTCTGTCAAATATTAAAATTTTATATTTTCCCTTTTTTCTTTCTTCTCTTTTAATTGTTTTCTTTTCTTTTTTTTACGATCGGGTTGGGTCGAAACATGGATCAACACGGATCCTCAAGTCAACGCGTGGATCCTAGCTTAGCAAAATGGCATCATTTTGGAGTAGTATAAAATAGCCCTTTCAACATTTTTCTCATAAACTTCAAAAGCTTTTCTCTCTCTACCCTTCCAAAATCCTCTGTTTTCTCTCTAAAAGCCACCGAAAAGTTCAACCAAAAACTAGTAATCTCGTCGGTTTCTGGAAATTTCGTTGAAAAATCCCACCAAAAATTGAAAAACCCATTGGTTTTTGGAAAGCCTGCCGGATTCTGAAAACTTCGTCGGAGTCTGGCCAGAAACTTCAACCTTCACTGTAGAATTCAATCGGCAAATTCAAACAATCTTAAAAACCCAGAAAACCTAGAAAAATTTCAAAAAAATCCTAGAACATTCATGGATTGTCCTAAACCTCCCCATAACCCTTTACTATTTTGAAATCACTTCCAGAAGCCTAAAATCATTCCAGAACTCCAAATCAAAACCTTAGTCCCAATTTTCGAATCCCATAACCCCTTTTTGTTAGAATTTCCCAAAATTTTTCCATAAATTCCCCTTTCTCTTTTCCTTTATTTCTCTCCCTCTCTCTGTGTCAAAATTAGTCCAATTTATAGGTGTTCTTGGGAGTAATTTTGGAAACGGACAGAATCAATCACAAGCTTGATTCTTAGGATTGCATTCTGTCCTAACGAGATTTTAGGTCCAAAATTTTTGTAGTCTTGTTGCTAATACAATTTGCAATAAAGACTTTGACCAAATATTTAGATCCTGATTATTTCGCCCACGTGCATATAAAATTGGGAAGGAAAATAGCCAGAAAACAAAAATGAAAATAAAAGGAAAAGAAAACAATAATAATAATAATAATAATAATAATAATAATAATAATAATAATAATAATAAATACTTAATTAAACCTAAAAAAGGCAAAATGAACCCAAATCATGATGGGCTTGACTAGAATGGGTCCGATTAGGTCTAAGTTAGAATGGGCCCAATCAGGCCTAAACCAGAATAGGTCAAGGTGGGCCTAAATGGGCTTAGACCATAATGGGCTCAAACCCAAATGGGCCTAATCAGACCCAGACCAAAATGGGTGTCTACAATATTTATAGAAAATTATTCTAAATGCTCCAATTAATACATTAGCGACATCTTAGATAAATTTTCTTACTTAAAAGTTCATAAAAAATCAATACTCGAACTTCTTTAAAATTTCATTATTGAAAAATTTTCATTTACTTTTTTTTAATCTTTATCGGTATTTAAAAATTATGCAATAATTATCAATAAATTTATTTATTTCAAAAAATTACATACTATTGTAAATAATTTATATATTTTTATTTATTTATTTTAAAGAAAATAGTTCAAATTAATTAAAAATAAAGATTTTTGTACCAAAAAGAGTTTCTAAATATTCAAATACTTTAGTAAATTTTAGAAATAATTTCTCACCTAGAAAATTCTTAGGAATCACTACTTGGACTTTCCGAAGTCTCATAATCAAAATTTTCATTTATATTTATAATTGTTATATGTGAAATATGATGCATATGAATTAATTTGTGATGCTATTGCGTTACATAAAAGTTCATTTTTAGAGATAAAAATAAATGGGAATTTTCATATTGAAAATCATTTTAAATATTCCAATTCTTTGATGATATTTTTAGAAAAACTCTTACCTAAAAATTTTTCAAGAATCACTACTCGAACTTTTTGAAATCCCATCATCAAAAACTCACGATACTTTCAAGATTATGCAATGTAAACAATAAAGTAAATATACACATGAAAACAATATATATTACTTATTTTCTTTATATTATACTTTTTTGTTACTCATTTTAATTTTGTTTTAATCTCTTAATTATTTCATCATCATTATTAAAAATTTTGAAAGAAACAAAGTAAATAAAATCATTTATTAAAAATTTTTTTGGATACCCCGAAACTTTGATGGTATTTTAAAAAAAAATTTTTACTTAAGGACTTTTTAAAAATCTCTACTCGCACTTTTCTTAAAATCTCATCTTCAGAGATTTCGTTTACTTTTTTCTTTCTCATTTAATTTTATTTTAATTTTAATTTTTAGTTTTGATTATTATTTTTAATGAACTAAATTTTGTAAAGATAAAATTAATTAATTACAATATTAATTTTATTACTAAAAGAGTAATTATATATTATTTATTATTATTTAATATATTTTTGGGAAACTAAATGAATAAAAATTGTTTGTATTAAATTTTTTTTAAATACTCTGTTGCTTTAATAGTATTTTTTAGAAAATTATTTTTACTTAGAGATTTTAAGAAATCACTATTTAGACTTCCTTAAAATCTTATCATTGACAATTTTCATTTAATTTTTTTTATTATTATTACATTTTTTATTGCATCAAGCCAGAGTATATAAAGTATAAATTGCATTAAAAAATGATAGCAAAAAATAATAATTTGCATGAAGTTAAAATAAAAAAATTAAATAACTAAGAGACTATAATGCATAAGGCTCAAACTTTAGTTACTAGAATAACATCTGAGAAATGAGTGTGGACATGATGAGATCTATATGAAATCAATCAAGAGCAGTTTCGTTTTCAACCCCATGCTTTAAAGTTTTCTTATATTAATAAACAAGGAAGAAAAAGTATGAAAACACAAAGCCTTATTTGACCTCAACCTACCTATGCCACCTTTTCACCCTATTTTAGATTAGACAACACTACAATGAGATAATTTGACAATGTAACAGCTTTCTATAGCCTAGACCCCATTATCATTTTGCAAGGTTTCTACAATCCTTAAGGAATTTTCTCTGCAAACTAAAACCCAGAAGAGAAACCCAAAAGGTAAACTTCCCAGGCAATGAAAAGGACGAAAGCTGGGTTGGAAACCCCCCCCCCCCGCCCTTTTTTTTATGCCACCTCTTGAAAAGTTATTGGATTCTCCATGCTTTCCTTAAGCTTTCATTTATTAAAAGATAGAATTAGGAAACCAGAAAGCATGGACTACCAACCAGGAAGTCTCAAGCCTTCATAAGCATCAATAAAACAAGGCTGCCCCCATGAAGAATAGTTTTTTTTTTTTTTTGTTCTTTTTTTCTTTTGAACTAAAACCCCCTGAAAAGAAATCCTTGTTTCGCATTTTGGAAGGCCGGCACCAGTAGCTAAACTAGAAATAGCATGACCTAAGCTTGCCCACAAGCAAACAATATATAGAGAAAACAAACCAACAAGTAATGGATAAGTCCACGCTTTAAACTTCCCTAAACGAGCAAAACAACAGGCTTGAGCATGAAAAGAAAAAAAAAATTAAAATCCCCATGTACAGATTCTGCGCAGGGGAACGAATATGTGCAAAACTGGATGAAGCTGTAGGCTTCTCATGACCAGAACCAAGCTGTAACTTCATACGGCAAACCAGTGCAAGGAAGAAGAAAAGAAAAATACATGAACAAGAGAAATGAAACCATAGGATCCAGCAGTAAACCGTGCACAGAGGGAATACCAACGAAAGAAGGGAACATGAAAAGATAGGGGAGTTTTAGGTTTATACACATAGACTACATACTAAAATAAAGAATAGCAAA